CTGTACATAGTTGGCCACTTGGTTACATTCCAAATAGTCCTTTGAGATCTGTGATGTGAGGATGAACTGCTGAATCAGTTAGACTACTGCTTCAGTGCTCTGTCATGCAGAACTTCACAATTTATTAATTCAGTGCCACACTCATAGAAACATAGAATGGTTAGGTTGGAAAGGACCTTTAGATTATTTAGTTCCAACCCCCCTGCCATGGGCAGCTGTATCACACAAGGCTTTGTCCAACCAGGTCTTGAACACTGCAACCTATTCCAGTGCCTCACCACCCTAACAGGAAAGAACTTCCTCCTTATATCCAATCTAAACTTCCCCTGTTTAAGTTTTAACCCATTACCCCTTGTCCTATCACTACAGTCCCTAATGAAGAGTCCCTCCCCAGCATCCCTATAGGCCCCCTTCAGATACTGGAAGGCTGCTATGAGGTCTCCACGCAGCCTTCTCTTCTCCAGGCTGAACAGCTCCAACTTTCTCAGCCTGTCTTCATACGGGAGGTGCTCCAGTCCCCTGATCATCCTCATGGCCCTCCTCTGGACTTGTTCCAACAGTTCCATGTCCTTTTTTATGTTGAGGACACCAGAACTGCACACAATACTCCAGGTGAGGTCTCAGAAGAGCAGCGTAAAGGGGCAGGATCACCTCCTTCAACCATCTGGTCATGCTCCTTTTGATGCAGCCCTGGATATGGTTGGCTTTCTGGGCGGTGAGCACACGCTGAAGCCGGCTCATGTTCATTTTCTCATCAACCAACACCCCCAAGTCCTTCTCCGCAGGGCTGCTCTGAATCTCTTCTTTGCCCAACCTGTAGCTGTGCCTGGGATTGCTCCGACCCAGGTGTAGGACCTGGCACTTGGCATGGTTAAACTTCATGATGTTGGCATCAGCCCACCTCACAAGCGTGTCAAGGTCCCTCTAGATGGCATTCCTTCCCTCCAGGGTATCAACCAAACCACACAGCTTGGTGTCATCAGCAAACTTGCTGAGGGCGCACTCAATCCCACTGTCCATGTCAGCGACGAAGATGTTAAACAAGAGCGGTCCCAACACCGATCCCTGAGGGACACCACTCGTTACTGGTCTCCAGCCGGACATTGAGCCATTGACCACAACTCTTTGTGCCAGTTCTTTATCTACCAAGTGGTCCATCCGTCAAATTGATGTCTCTCCAATTTAGAGACAAGGATGTTGTGTGGGACAGTGTCGAATGCTTTGCACAAGTCCAGGTAGATGACATCAGCTGCTCTACCCCTGTCCATCAGTTCCGTAGCCCCATCATAGAAGGCCACCAAATTGGTCAGGCAGGATTTCCCCTTAGTGAAGCCATGCTGGCTGTCACCAAGCACCTTGTTGTTTTTCATGTGCCTTAGCATGCCTTCCAGGAGAATCTGCTCCAAGATTTTGCCAGGCACAGAGGTGAGACTGACTGGTCTGTAATTCCCTGGGTCATCCATTTTCCCCTTCTTGAAAATGGGGGTTATATTTCCCTTTTTCCAGTCATCAGGAACTTCACCTGACTGCCATGATTCCTCAAATATGATGGCCTGCGGCTTCGCAACTTCATTTGCCAGCTCCTTCAGGACCCGCAGATGGATCTCATCAGGTCCCATGGACCTGCGCACGTTCAGGTTCTTAAGGTGGTCTCGAACCAGATCCTCTCCTACAGTGGTCCAAGGTCTTCATTCTCACAGCCCCTGTGTCTGCCTTCCAAGACTTGGGTGGTGCAGTCAGAGCCTTTGGCAGTGAAGACCGAAGCAAAGAAGTCATTCAGAACCTCAGCCTTCTCCAAATCCTGTGTAGTTAGTTCTCTCGAGAGCTTCCTGAGGGGACCTACGTTGTCCCTAGTCTGTTTCTTTATTTGCTATGTACCTGTAGAATCCCTTCCTGTTATCCTTAGCATCCCTAGCCAAGTTTAATTCTACCTGGTCCCTAGCTTCCCAGACAACATCCCTGTACTCTTCCCAGGCCGCCTGTCCTTGCTTCCACATTTTAGTAGCCTCTTTTTTCAGCTGAATTTTCCTCAGTAGCTCTTTATTCATCCAAGGAGGTCTCCTGGCCCTCCTGCTGCAGTTACTTCTGGTTGGGATGCAACACTCCTGAGCTTGCAGCAGGTGATCCTTGAATATCAACCAACAGTCTTGGGCCCCCCTGCCCTCTAGGGCTATATCACATGGAACCTTCCAAAGCAGGTTCCTGAAGAGGCCAAAGTCTGCTCTTTTGAAGTCCAGAGCAGTGAGCTTGCTGCACGCTCTTCTCACTGTCCTGAGGATCTCAAATTCGAGCATCTCATGATCGCTGCATCCAAGGCTGCCCTGGAGCATCACATTTCCAACGAGCCCTTCCCTGTTGGTGAGCACGAGGTCAAGCATGGCACCTCTCCTTGTCGGCTCCTCTATTACTTGCAGAAGGAAGTTGTCTTCCACACAGTCAAGGAACCTCCTGGATTGCTTGTGCCGGGCCGTACCGTCCTTCCAACAGATGTCAGGGTGGTTGAAGTCACCCATGAGAACAAGGACCTGTGAGTGTGAGGCTTTTCCTATCTGTCTATGGAGTGCTTCATCCGCAGGTTCTCCTTGATCTGTAACAGATCCCTACAGTAATGTCTCCCATAGCTGTTCTCCCTTTAACCCTGACCCACAAACTCTCTGTGGACTGCTCACCTGTCCCCAGACAGAGTTCCATACTCTCCAGCCTATCCCTAACATAATGGGCAACTCCCCCTCCCCACCTGCCAGGCCTGTCTTTTCTAAAGAGCCTGTAACCTTCCATTCCAACACTCCAGTCATAGGAGCCATCCCACCATGTGTCTGCGATGCCTATTATATCATACCCCCGTAGACGTGCACACATCTCATAATTCCTCTTGTTTGTTCCCCATGCTACGGGCATTTGTATAGAGGCATCTGAGCTGAGCTCCAACTGAAGCCGGCTCATTGGCTGGAGCAGCTGGAATACATCTACATTGCTCCGAGCAACTGACAGATTCTGGCAACTGACTGGGTGTGTTGGGATGGAATGATGCCCCCCTTCCCCAGCACATCTAGTTTAAAGCCTCCTTGACCAGTCTGGCAAGCCTCCTATCAGAACTGCTCTTTCCCTTCCTTATCATCAGAAGAATCTCCTTTATATACATTTATGCACACCTTACAGTATTCCGAAACATTAAATTAGCCTAAACAAGCGTGTGCTACCCGCAGTCTGGTGCTGTCAGAAGTGGGTTGTGTAATGCAGGGGGGAAAAAAGGGTCAGGATTCTTGGTATCTCACAGGTTGTGCAGCTGATTTATGACAGTTGGAGTGTTCCTGCAGACTCTTTTTGCAGGCCACCAAGCATTTGAGGGCCGTGACTGCATTTCCCCGCTCAGCTGTAGCCTGCCCTTCTCCACCGATGAGACGGGAGCACATTGCTTTTCCTGCCCAGTGGTGTTGCTGCAGCGGCTTCTCCCTTTGAACTTAGTAACAGGTCAGATGTAAATTGCAGTTTAGACATAAAAATAGCCAGCACCTGCTGCAGTCATGCTGGGCTGGAGAGAGCCTGTGCCAGCCCTGGGCTGGCATGACCCAGAGTGGTCTGGTGAGGTTTTCTCTCCTTGGTACACATGGAGCAGCCTCTGGGAGGAGTATGGACAGCACCTTGTCAGGATTGTTGGCTGGACTGCTGCAAAATTAATAAAACTCTAGTGCTGTATTACCCTTTGATCACAAGTATATTTTGTCTCAGCCTGTGCTCTTCTATTTGACTTTTTTTCTCTGCTTTTAATCTCTAACATAGCAATTTCCTCTCTTGCTATGTTTGACCAAGACCAAGTTAGGACAGTGTAAAGATAATTCATCTTCTTAGGAATTACATCATTATTTTAGATTAGAACTAGCTCAAGCTTCATCAGGCTTCTGGAAATCTGTTATTCATGTATATTTCTGATTAAAAAATGCTGTTAAGGTGGTATTAAACTTTTCTTGAAGAAAGACATTAGTTCAAAGGTTCAGTGCACAGGTGCTCCTGGAGAAGATAAACTGGGCCTTTCTGCCTCGGCTGTTAGCTCTGTTGAAGATTGTATTTTATTTCTATGATTTTACTGTTAGCCATTTTACCTTTGAAAGGAGTATGCATATCTAGGGTATGAGTATGCATATTTATGGTGTTTGTTTTGAGATCCTGCAGAGCTGGTGCATCCAAAATTATTGCTTCATTCACCATGAAATGGTTTCACCAATAACAAAGAATTATTTTTTTTCTCGAGATATAGGCGTATTTAACTGTCCTTCCCTTGTTTGCGTTACTCAATGAGCTGTGATAGCAAACGGGGCTAGTTTCACTGTTGTCCAGATTTTATCTGCAGCTGTTCAGAATTTTAAAGCTTTCTTTAAAAGGCTTTTACTTTCTTAATGCAGAATGCTGAGGGTTTTGGACAGGAAGTAAACTTAATTAGTTCAAGTGCTTTATGATACTTTATTTCTAAATTGCTATTCATGTTCATTAAAGTTCTTAACTAGATTGCTAGATCCTTTTAATTTCATTTGTATTTGAATTATGAATAGTGAATAAACAGAAGTGTGTGTAGTTAGTTTAGTCTAACCAGGGGCAGTAAGTTAACTAGTGAGGAGGAGGATCACATGTTTGTGCCCAGTGCCAGCAAGTGGCTGTCTCCCGGGATTTGCTGGTGCTAGCACTGACAGCAGTAGGTGCTTTGCGAACAGTTTAGAAGCTTGAAGGATATCCAGCATCAAGGCAAAGGATGTAGTAGACAACAGTGAGGCACATGAGGGACAGCGTTGGAGAATATTTTTAGCCAAGCCTGTTTGCTCATGACGCTGTTGGCAGTCTCATGCTAAAAAAGGCTTAATGTGGATAGGGAAGCAGTGTGGAAGGAAGTGGGGGAGCTCAGGGGGAAGACATAGGTCTGGTGTGCTGGACACATACAGGTTGCAGGGAATTTGAATCCTGATGTGACTAACACTTCACCTACAAGTTTTCGGTTTGGAACTTTGCAGATTCAAGACCGGTAAAGGAAAGGTACTTCTGCCAAAGACTAGCTGCAGTTCTCAAATCCCTTGAGGTAACTCCTTCCGGTTAACTTTATCTGTGAATTCCTAGGAAAATTGTTAATTTGAAGTAACTGTAAAGCCTGCTTGTGGAAGATCAGAGCATGACAATTAATGATCAATTGTCTCTCATTAGTGGGTAACTAAGAAGAATTGTGTTTGGGGATTATTTTTCTTTGCCCCTGAGTGAAGGCCGTTTAAAAACCTACAGCTCTAAAAACTGTCTATAAATCTGTTGTACACCAAAGAAAACACCAGAGCAATGGGAGAAAAACTCGTGAAGCCCCGGCTGTGCAGTGGAGGCTTCCCCAGAGTGTAGTTCAGGGACCCTCAGCCACAGGGTTTGGAGCTTAGCACAAGGTGGCAGAGGGTCACTGTAGTGAAAGGAATGTGCCTTTATGAAGGTCAGCCGGAGGATATCAGTGGAGGGTGTTTGCAACTGTTTTGTCTGCAAGTGAAGGAAGGGGGGAAATGAGGAAAGTAATCTTATCCCTTACCCTGCAGATTATTCCTGTGTATGTTTTCCACACTAACTCCACAGCAGGTCTCTCTATAGTATTGTGGTGCTAGATACAGCAGCTGGCTATCCTTATTTTGGTGAAGGCAGTCCTTTATGTAGCTCTGTGGTAGGCAAAACTGTGTTCTGTTATTGCCATAAACATTTTATACTGGGCATATTCTAAGCAAAAGAATATTACAGTGTTTAAAAGAAAAGAAATATCCCTGGGATTACTCTGAACACGGCAGGCTTACGTTATGTATTGTGCTAGGAACAAAACAGGTTTATAAGTAATAGCCATTTAGAAAAATAATTTAGGCCCTTTTTTCAGAGCCTGCTCCTTCCCAGAAGCCAATTTATGCAATTTTTTATAAAGCACATTTAAGATTTATTCACAATTCAAATTTCATTAATAAACCCAAGTGAAACCCAAGCATTCTTAAACATGAAGAAATACAGAACCCTTGTCTGAGCCTACTCAACTTCCCCTCTTACTCATTTATGCTGGTTTTTTTTTTTTTTTATTTAGGCATTTAATCAGGGATAAGTCATGGCACAACCTTAGAGATAACTGCTCTCTAAGAAATTGCAGGTAAATTACTAATTTGCTTGGGTATAAACCTGTCTGGACTGTAACCGGGGTAACATATCCCAGGACAGTGCACACTTGGTTCAAAGATGTTCTGCCTTAGTTGTTTTGGGCAGCTCTGGCTTTCACAGCTTATGTCATTTTAACTGGCCATGGTTTCCTTTTCTATAAGTCACATTTGAAGCTAGAAGTGAGATGAAAGCTTTCCGACTAAGCACCATAGTGCTACACAGACACCTGAATTAACTTGCTGAGGTCTTACGCTTTTTCTGGTCTCAAGTATGAGGAGAGTTATAGCCTCTTTAACCAAGAATAATTCAGTCTCCTTAACTAGGATCAGGATTGTTTAGCAGATCTTGCTGCAGTGATCTCAGAATTTGGTTGTTCCTTCAGATGTTAGCAACCACTGGCACCACAGAAAGGGCCATGTGCAGGTGCTTCAGCCACCAGAGTACACAGCTGGAAAATTCTGGTGGAGTTTGCTGTCTTTACTTAAAAACAAAATAAAAATAGAGAGTCATGGCAAGAACCCACCTTCATCAGGGGTATAAACCAACACACTGAGTTCTGAATTAAGGCAGCTAAGGTGCAGGCTATGAAGATGTTCCAGCTATGAAGCAGTGGTCCTTAGCAGAAGGCTGGGATGGACAAGAGGGGGCAGTAATGTTTTAGGCTGCCACAGCTGAACCTGATGGAGGATGTTTATCCTTCAGAGCCCTGGCTCCGCAGAAGGCTGTGTGCAGGGTTAGGTGTAACTGGTCTTCTGCCGTGCTCAAGCTCTCTTCTGATAAATAAACAGAAAATTTTACAGAGTCATGAGGTCACAGGTACATTCTTGCTCTTCATTCTTGCTTATTTGCTCCCCACCTTACAGAGGGAAGCTCAAAACTGAAGGGTTTGGTTGCAAAAGTGCTTTGTTGCTGCAGAAGTCTTGAAAAGGGAGAGAGACTGTCATTGGTCCATCTAGGTCAGCAGTCTGGCTTACAATGGATGTCTTACAAAAGGATTTGCAGTCAGCACAATGACTTGTATTTCCTCCGTCATATCCTCCTAATTTCCATTTCATTAATAATTCCAGTTCCTCTCTTTACAGTCTACTTATGCCACCTTTAATAGCCACAACAAGAAGGTTCACACTTCAGGCATGCATTATGGGGGTGTGGGGAAATGCTTCTGATTGTTTGTTGTGTACTCTTTATAATTTATTGGCATTCTTCTAGTTTTTCCTGCTATGAGTGAAGACTTATTTTTCTCAGTCAATCATTTCCAATTATCATTAGGGAAGCATTTAGTTTTTAGGGTCTCTAAGAGACAATAGCCACAGTAGTTGGGGGATGGTAGGAAGTAATTTCCTGAAGCTGTTATATTAATATCTCTTTGATTCCATAAAACATTGACAGAGGTTTATAATGAAATCAGTTTTACCATCTAAGGAGTAAGTTAACTTGTGATTAAAAACATATTATCAAGCTTTTTCCCTGAGTGCATTCCTTTATCAACATTGGGATATTATAATATGCAAGATGGTCTTTACAGAATGGACTGAGCTGTGGTTCAAGGAAATAATCAGAAGATTCAAAGATACTGATATTTTCTCTGGTGAGGAAGAAAACTGGCCAGAAAATGGTTTCAGTAATTTTAATAAATTATTTTTAAAAGGGGGGTGAAGGGGTGGAGAGAGGATTAAAAAACAGAATGAAGTGTTCCCCTTGTGAGATGATGCTGAAGGCAGAGTTGTATGTATCCACTTCTGAGTCTTGTGTGTCCTAAATGTTGGAGCACTGAGAATATTTTCAAAGCTGTGCTATCAAAGTAGCTAATGGAAACATGGGTTTGAAGGTTATCATATTGAGTTCAATGCAAGGCACTTACGCAAGAAAGAAACCACTTAAGTGTTCAAGTGTGTGCATATGCATTTATATTTAATTGACTTTTTTAATGGAAAAGTATGTCTGTATTTAAATGTGACTCCTTTTCCTCAGTGTACTGCCTAAATCTGTTTGTTCAGTCTTAGAAGACATCAGAAAGCAGTTTGATACAATTTGAAGTTTCTAGTTCATGTTTATAAATATATTTGCATGTGTATATATATATATATATAAATTTTATTTTTTTTTTTTAAATGAGGAAGATGAGGATCTTAAATGGAAAGAGCTTCTCTCTCTTTAGGGCTCAAGTACCTTTTATGCAGGCACCGGTGCAAAACCAGTGTCAGATCAAAACTTGCTCTTTTGGGTTAACACTGCTGTGCTTCAGTATTGAACTAGTATTTATTCTACCAGCTGTAGTCTTTCTGGAAACTTTGGCCTCACTTTTATCAGTTTTAGTAAAATGTTACAGGCAATGAAAAGGCAGACATCCCTTTGATAGTCCATAAAGGCAGTATTCCAGAATCCCTTCAAGACCAGTGAAAGTTCTTGTTCCTGGGAGCAGCTCAGTTTGAGTGATACAGTTTATTGAACGGTGGCATGCTCTGTTGCATCGGTTCTACGGACCTCTTTCTTGTGGGAAGTGGGAAGCGAGATGAGATACTGGTCATGCCTTGCTGATCTTTTTTAATGGACGGTTTTTGTTGCCATAGTTGTATGTGAGGATTTTAATGTAAAAAGAATGCCTAACATTATTATTTTAAATTAGGAGATACATATTTGCCTTTTAGGTATGCAGGAATGTTATGGTAACTATTTACACTTTCCTCTATAACTTACCTTCCATCCCTTGCCCTTTAACTCACAGACCTTCCTCCACCAGCACTGAGAACTGAATCAGCTGCTTTTGGTGATAGTTCAACAGACCCTTAAATGAATGTTTAGATGGGGCAGCTACAAAAATGGTGGGAGCTATAGGAAATGGGTAATGTGTCATAATGTCCTTTTCATAACAAGGGCCTTCTTAAGCATGTAGGTTTATTGTTACCAAAAGCCTATCCCAGAGCCTTGTTCTGATAGTCTCCAACCTAAACTTAGTTCTGGCCAGTTGATACCTGTTTGTTCTGGTAACAGCAACCTTTTTTTGGCTTAAATGGTTTATTTCCCTTCCTAGCAGTTAACTTTGCTGTCTTACAGTGAGCAATTACAACCCCTGTAAATCCCCCTGCATCCCTCTGCTGAGTGTGCCCATCACTGTGCATGCTGTCAGTGCTGGAAATTCTCATTCAGCCTCCTGTGTTTCTAATGCTTCATTTTTGGACATGGGCAGCCTCTCTTGCACAGTATTCCAGATGAGATCTGAGGAGTGCTTCTTACGTACTTCCCTGTACTTCCTGTCTCTGTTGGAAAGGTTTCTGTGGATACATCCCAGGATTGCATGTGTGCTTTTCGCAGCTGCATCTCAACAGTGACACACAGCTACTTTATGCTAGGATGGGCTAGTGCATCCAGGCCCTTCTGCTCCAGGCACTGGTCAGCCTCCCTCTACCTGGGGCTTGTTTATTTTATTTATGTGATTGTGCATTGAATGTTAGTGACTTTCATCCCACTCTTACGGCTCCAGTCTTGAAGGCTGTGGTGCCTGTTGTAGAATGACTCAATACACCCTTATGTTCAAATTGCTTCCCAGCTTTGCCATCGGCTGCCATAATTACTTTTTTCTATGCAAGCCATTAAGCAGTGAAAAATGAAGCAGAAGGCAGATCATTTGGTTTTGTTTAGTGTTTTCATTACGGATGTCCAAGATGTCTAGTTTTTCCTTCCTATGTTGTCTGCCATGGTTTCTTTTGGGCAGGATCTTTGCTGCTATGAGTTCCTCTGCTAGTTTCCAACTTCACATTTTCAGTGTGATACTACATGGAAAAGTATTAAATAATGTTTGTTGAAAAGCCAGGTAACCGAGACTTACTTATATTTATTTTGAGTAAACTCCCTGAAGCAAACATGTTGTGTCCTGATCTCTTTGTAGCTTCATGTTCTTATTTTTCTTTGTCAGTCTTTGGTGGAATTTTATGCACTTCAGGTGAGTTCTGTAGCCTTTCTTCTGTGCTAAATCAAACTGGCTCATAAAAATACTGGCACTAAATTCTTGAAATGAATCTACATCTTCCACATTTATAGAGGTAGTTCTGTATTTGTTTGAATGCAGTTGGCTTTTGAGTGTTGAGCAGTTGCATGTGTTTGGCTTTGCTGGACAATTTTGAAGACAGTTGCAAAAAGTGGTGTGTGTTTCTGAAATGCTTCCCAGTCATGTTTGCCTTCTCTCTAATGGCAGCAGTGGAAGATGGTACCCTTTGTTCCAAAAACCAGCAAATATGGTTGGACATAAAACTGGCCTTGGGCAGTGTGCCAGCCCAGATGGACTGGCTGCCAGTGTTGCCATTAACTGTATACAGACCTAAGGCTGAGCTAAATGGATAGCTAAATAGCTAGCTGAATAACTAACTAGCATTCCCTAGCATGGTTTGGTTTCAACAACATGTTTACACAAATTTGTCTGAAGTAGATTGGAATTGAGCAGTTTTGGAATGGTATGATAATCAGGGTAAATATGTACAGTATAAACATACCTAGTCTTTTTCTCTGTTCCTCTGATAGCACTGTCACAGATGTGTTTAACTGAATGATTCAGTACTGGTTACATCCCATGGCAGACACCTGCTGGGCATCCTGACAGACACATACATTTTCCTGTAGACCTGCTTGGCATCCTAATAAGCACATACATTTTCCTGTAGACCTTACATCCTGGTTAAAATAAGTTGTAAATGAAGTGATTTGTTGTGAGAAAAGCATTTATTTTTTTTTTTGTTCTTATGGCTTTAAACTTTACTAAAGGTAGTGGTGGATTAAAGAAATGCTTTATATTAGCTTTTGTGATACATTTGACTTGTTGAGCAGATGTTTAAAGACTGTTTTTCTTCAGTTTTTTATTTTTATGGATAAACAGGTTTGCAGCCTGGTAAATCTGAGTTTCTTTGTAGGTTTTCGTTTTTTGAAGTTTGGTTTGTAGATTTCATGGCATAAGGCTTGTGAAATTAGATAACATGCTTTAAACAAGCCACCTCTGGGTAAAGTACATTTCTAATTACTGACACTAAATTATGTGGAGAGAGAGCTTGTGTCTGAAGTAAATCTCCAGTTCAGCAATCTAAAATTAAATAATGATTAACTTAATTGCGTCAGGATCATTAAAAAACACTCTTAATATAAGGATTAATTGTGTGTGTTGAGAGTGAATAATTGCTTCTGCTTCATTTTCAAGAACTTACATAGAGACAAGGTTTGTAGGTAAAAGAAATACCTTTTGTTATGCTGATTAGTAAAGCTAGGAAAAGTAGGCTAGTTCTTGAGTATGGAAGCTCTTTCTCTCTTCTGAATAGAAGCTGCAATTTTACTGCTAAATATAAGTTGAGAACAGTTGCTTTTAATTTCATAGGTATGTGCCAGTTAGACCCTCTAAAAGCAATACTGGTTGGTACCTGTGGAGCAGAGTGTAGTATTAGTACATGGGAAGGACAATTAAACAGGGTTGGTTTTTTTTTTCCCCAAAGAAAAGTGAGAAATGGATAAATTTAATAAGAATTTTAGTTACTGATTTTGACCTGGGTTAGCAGCTGCATGTTGCTTGCATTGTGGTTTGCTTCTAAACAAAATACTTTTACCTTCATTCATTCAAGAATGTCTTTTTTGCTTCTAGGCAAATGAGAAAGCGAATCTCTTGAAACATAAACAGTAGTACTTCCCTGGAGGGAGGAGATAGGGATTCTCCTGTTGCTCTGAGTGTTTCCAGGTGCCAGAAGTGGTCCCCAGTGGTGGTGGTAAGAAAGAAATCTTCCCCCACATTTCTGTATTTGCGTTTTGTCTGTAGCAATAAGCTGCTTTTAGAAAAAAATGGGGGTGCAAATCCTGTTCTTTTCATAGAATTTAGGAGTTGCTGGGGGAGGCGTCAAAAGTCTCCCACTCTGAGAATTTTAATCTGGGGACAGAATCAGCACTTTAGCTTGTTGCTTCCTCTAGTGTTTGCTCCTGCTCTCTCGTGTATGCTGTATCTGTTGGTAATCATTGCACCAAAGATTTAACCACAAAAAACCCTGCAGATGACTCTAGAAATACTTAACTATCGTCTCCTGCCTTAAATGTAGAAGGAGAACTGTGGCCTTACAGCACTTTGAGGATTATCATTTAAAGAATTCTTAGAAATCTCTTGAATGCTGACTCTGGGATCATCTTAGGCTGTAGCCCAAAACACCCTTTAATTTTGTCCAGCAATCAGGCATGGAAATGTTAAGCTACAGGAGCAAAGTTCCTTTTTCTTTTCCTTTTTTTTTTTTTTTCTGTAGTTTGTCCTGCAGTGACAGCAAAAGTGGAAAGCTGATGAGACCCCATCAACACAGCATTAGGACAAGGTTTTTCCAGGACAGGATCTTAAAATCCCAGAGTGGTTAATGTCAGATGTAGATATTTTAATGATCTCTGATACCCTGCCCCTTCTTGGGCTGTTAGTAGCTTTTTTTAATAGGAAAGTCATCCGATCTTGATGCTTTTGCAAAGACCCAGAGTTTTGATTTAGTATTCAATAGCGTTTCAAGGTCTATTATAGGGCAAGTAGACTCCAAGAAACTTTCATTTCTGTGAAATGTTTCTCAAAGCTCTGATTCACAGGGTAGTACACCCACCATCTGTGATCAGAGCACGTATTCTGACCTCATGCAAAGTTACATCCCTTTTGAAGTCATACATTTTCCTGCTACAGGGGAAGTTAAAGCATTTATCCCAGATCGCATTAGGTGGGCAAATAACCACTCTGTGAACCCCATATATTCTTGGATCAAAGAGGGGTCTCCTCCTGGGTGTCCCTCAACCCCGAAAATTAGTTACTGCAGCAGAATCTGGGTAATGCTGACCAACTGCAGCTTTATTGGGTAGAGGGAGACCCAGCAGGCTGATTGCTGAATGTAGCCTTGTTACAGTGTCATGGTGATCAGCCACTTTCAAAACCAGTTCTGCCAAATGCTTGTGCCTGGGCTCATTGCCATTGGTGTGAGAGCAATGCCCCAGAATACACAAAAGCCTGTTTTTATGCGTTTGTTGGTTTGTGGCATATTTTGCAGTTTACACGGCTGCAATTTTTTGCCTTTTTTTGCATGTGAGGCCTGAAAAGGCCATCAGTGTGAGTGTTACTGAGAAGCTAAGATATGCTTGGGGGGCAGGTTTTTATGAATTATGTACAGCTCTTGAATTTTTAAGCTCTGCTTCTGTTTGGAGAAGAGAGAACTTGGGCTTCTCAGATCCAGCCCTGCAGGCTGCCAAGGCTGGTGCCTGTGCTCCTTTTGTAGTGGGTGGCTGCGTGTCTTGTCTCAGATTGCTAGAACCCGCAAAGAGGAATAATCTGGATATTAAATATTCTGAATGTGAAGTGGATGGCCATGCTGGAAGCTGCATGGGTTGAATAATCCCGTGACTAATTCTTTCAGTCTTTACCTTCTTGATTGCTCAGATAAATCCTGAGATAGGTATTAATATGGATTACAGAAATTGCATAGAGAGCTTTTCAGTGTCCCAGTGCATGCTTCTTTTTGTGGAACAAATCCCCACTTGACGATCCAAAGCACAGCTGGTACCAGCAGGCACACAGGGGAAGGAGGTGAGGGACTGAATTACGGGAAAGCCAAATTATGGTAACATTTGCCATAGCAGCCGTCCCCTCCCGCTGGGGTTTACACATAGGCAGAGGACCTATGGGTATCATCTGCTGCTCCTGTCCTCATTGTGTGTCTTTGTGAGGGGATTTCTCTTACAAAATTTCTCAGACTTGCCGGTGTTACAATTTTTAACAATTTGGATGAAGATTTGGTTTTCATATAAACTTAGTTGAGGACCACAGAGAGATTAAAAGAAAACACCAACTAAACCCCAGAAAAACAAACCAAACAACAAAAAAACCCTAACCCAACAAAAAAACACTGATCTTTGCAAGGCGTCTGTGAACGTAAAGGTGCAGCAGGCAGGACCACAAAGCAGCTCACAAAAGCAGTCACAGCAGCCACAATTTAAAGTTTTCCATAGTTCAAGCAAGGAGAAATGTGAAGTACATTGGAAGCAGAATTACATTCTGCTTTCATAGTCGATTTACCAATGTGGAGTCTACAGTAACAGGCTGTTTCAAAGCCTGTAAAAGAGAGGTCTCTTCTCTGGCAGACAGGTGTTCTGAAAAGCTGCTACCGGAGATAAAATCCCTGATGTTATTCTGGTGTGGTACAGTCTTTAAACTTGGTCAGGTTTGCACAACATGCAAAGGTAATGTTCTCTCCTATTTTGTTTTGTTTTGTTTTTTCAATAGATAGCATGCTGAGTTGAGAGACTATGAAAATCAGAAAGGAGTAGTTTTCCTTGGCAGTCTTAGGGAGCACTCAAGAAGATCTGGGTGTGTTAAGTGCATTATATCACGAAGCACTCTTTTGCAGAGCGGAAAAGTTTGTTCTAAATTCTTTCAGGACAGGGCAAATACTGTGTGTATGTCCTTCACTTGAGTATGTCTCTTCTAACTACTGAGTGTGTGGTAAGAGGCAGGCACCAGAAGACCAGCTCCTTGTGGCATTTATTTGGAAGAACCAAGCATGTCATCTGTATTTTGTGAAACACTGTTCTCTCACTCTTTGAAAGCACTCGGACTGCTTCACACTAAGCTTTACTCCCCAGAAAGCTTAGGGAAAGAGCAGCCTTGTTGGACAGTGCTGGCTGTGCTTCTGTCCAGGACCCAGTGCTGTTCAGCCCTGCAAGGGTGGTCTGTGCTCTGGGCCAGCAAAGGGACCACTTCTAACTTGGGAAACCAGCTGGTGAAAATCAAAGGCCAAGTACCTCTACGCTGGATATTCTAGTGATGTTTATTTTGAGAAGAAAAAATAAAACTAAAAGCTTCTTTATAAGAAGCTAGAATCATAGAATGGGCTGGGCTGGGCTGGACCTTGAAGATCATCTAGTTCCAACCCCCCTGCCATGGGCAGGGACACCTTCTACTGGACCAGGTTTCTCAAAGCCTCATGCAGCCTGAGGCACCCACTTTTCTGGGCGACCTGTTCCAGTGTCTCACCACCTTCATAGTGAAGAATTTCTTCCTAATATCTAATCTAAATCTCCCCTCTTCCAATTTAAAATCATTCCTCTCTTGTCCCTTTACCACATGGAAGTCCCCCTCAGCTTTCCTGTAGGTCCCCTTTAGGTACTGGAAGGCTTCTCTAAGGTCTTCCTGGAACCTTCCCTAGGCTGAACAGCCCCAGCCCTCTCAGCTCTTACTCTTTTCTAATTGTTTTGGAAATGTCACTGGTGCTGTGGAATAGTTGTTTTTACGTCATTTTTTAAGTTGTGAAGGCCACGAGTAGATGCTCTTTGTACTGGCTTTGTCAGCTTTAGCCTTGCTCAGTAAGAAATCATCTGGGTACTTGTGGTCTCTATTGCAAGATGGGAGCAAAAGACCTAAGCATCTCCTTGTGTGGTTCTTTTTCCTTAACTGAAGGTATATCAATGCCACTTGTTATTGTCATGTGTACGTCAGAAGGAAAACGTCTTCATTGTTTATGACCATGGGCCAGCGTGGTGTCCCAATGGTGGGACATTTGGTAACATAAACTTATAGCCCAGTTGTGTGTGCTGCTCTGCTAAGGCTGATCTTTGTGTCTACCACTACCGATTTCTCAGCTTTACTAGGTTAACTTCAGTAATGTCTAGCAGAATTATCTATTTGCTGAAAATGGTAAACAGATATTAAAAAACCCAACCAAACATAAATCCCCAAACAACCCCAAAAACCACTGCCAACCCGTGCAAAAGAAAATTTTGCATAAGATATATCTTATTACCACAGACCTGGAATGAGTAATAACTGTAAAAACAGTTACACAGACAAACCCCAGGGTAACACTGACCTTAAGCGTAAGTTAAGACCGAGCCCATAGCAGTGACTTGTGAGCAGTCAGTCAAACCAGGCATAGGATAAGCTCCCAGTTGCCTGAAAGTAATGAACTTAGTTAGAGAAAAATACTTCTTATTAATGGAGTGAAGTTTCAATTATTACAGGTGTTTACAAAATCTGGTTTATTATAATAAAGGTAAAAGGAATTTAAATAGAATGAATCAGGTGAAGTAGTTCATGTTAATGGGCTTGAAAGTGAACAGCACAAAGCACAGACAGCAGACTGAAGAGGCAGTTATACATTCCTGAGTAAATAGCACAAAGGTTCTTGTTATATGTCTTGACTGGAGAAATACTGATTCTTCTAGATTAGTTCTGGCAATTACACCAGTGTCCTTGTTTGTTTATTTTAAACGAAGGTAGCCTGGTTTGCTAGAATCATTGTCTAGAAGTGTGTCCTGTATTAACGCATTGTGTGGAACTGCAGGCACTTTTTAATATCCTTGAATATCTGATGTTTTTGGCATACTGGCAGATAAGAATGAATCATAACAACATAAATGGTGCTTCTCAAACCAATACTCTGCCTGACTGAGGAGCTTGTGAAGAGCAGTGACAAGCTAGAAGTGGTGACATCCAGAATTGGAGTATGGCACACAGGCTTTATTCAGCATGAGGCTTTGATACAATAAACACCTCTGTTTACTAATTAGATTCTGATTTTTCAGATGATGGGGAGCAGTTTTTGACTTGGCATTCAAACTGTTCTGAAATGCTGCAAGCTCCAAGAAAAATGGGTGCTCACTTTTATACTAGTAATTTCACATCTCTTTCAGTGCTTTATAACTGTGCCAGGTAGCAGAAAACATCTTTCCTGTGATGTTGTACATATTTGACAGAAGTGGGAATGA